ATAAATAAAAACATGATACATTAGTGAGAATCGGTCATGTATATGACAGAGGGCTTTCTGCAGTCATATATACATATATAAATAAAAACATGATACATTAGTGAGAATCGTTCATGTATATGACAGAGGGCTTTCTGCAGTCATATATACATATATAAATAAAAACATGATACATTAGTGAGAATCGGTCATGTATATGACAGAGGGCTTTCTGCAGTCATATATACATATATAAATAGAAAAATGCGAAGGTGATAAAATAAAGAAATTAGACTTTTGGGAAAAAAATCGCCTTTAAAAAACTATCGTAGTAATTTATTCACTTGGAAACGTTTCGGGCAAGTGCTCTTTATCAAGCCAGAAACAAGCCTGTCGGTTACTGACAGTAACAGGAACGTTTTGAAGTGAAATAATACACGAAAACAGAATGTAACGCGAGATAAATAGATATATATATATTCCAACTATACACAACATTCATGCTTAATGTTCGGTTTGCTGGTTTATCCATTTTTTTCTTCTAGTAAATATATTATATTTAAATCTACTGTTTAGAAGACTCTGTATTTTATCAGTCACTTTTATCATTTTATGAGCTCCCACAGGAAGTAAATACGTCCTCACAGTTTTCACCAGAACGTGTTTTCGTACGTTTGATTATAGCAATATTTAGCAGCAACAACACGAAAAATCTAGATACTGCATAGAAGTAGTTGACTCTGTAATGAAAAATATACTTAAGTGGTCAACATCCTGGCCAGACGGACTGATGAAGGTCGTTTGGTCAAAACTTTGATCGCTTTGTTATTTTTTCTTTTCGGCGTTTTTTTTTTTTACCATTTCTTTGTATTTACTGATGATAATGAAACACAACATGCACGTGCTGTTGTGCATTTTTGAAGTTAGTTTTTTTTTCTCCTAACGCCTTTCCGTCACCCCCCCCCCTCCCTCTTACAATAGTTAAATAATAGACTGTAATTATTTATAGCGCGAGAGTCTCGAAGAAAACGACTCGGGAGAAATTCGATGAACTTAGCGAGGAGAGATAATTGAGAGGGACACGTGAAACTAGGTGGAAAATTGAATGAGTGCAGGGCATCTAATACATTATGAAGTCTTTTTACTTTCATTTCGTGCATCTGCTCTCTATGATTTAGGAACGTACAGCCACTTTGAGTACAAATTGCTTCTGATTAAATGTGTAGTTAAGCAGAATATACAAAAAATAAAACCTGGACTCATTAACATTTTTTTAATACCACAACTATAAAACTAATACAAATATCAAAGATATCTTTAACGTACTCCCGTATTTGATCGTGAGTTTTAATAAGCCACTTTAATGTTTTGTTTAAACAATAACCTAAGTTTACGGACGTACAACGCTAAAATACAGCGGTGAATACAGCAGATAGTCCAGTGTGGCTTTGCTCTAAAACAAACGAATAAGATAGTTTACAAATAAATAACAGAACAAGCTTATAACAAGCTTTCTTAGCAGGTAATAAGCTACACATACGCCCCCTTTCGGAGCATTGTAAACTATGTGAAATATAGTTGCGCGGCCTCGTCAAACCTCACCATGACGTATTTTAGGAATCAGCTATCTTTGTTTACGTAAAACACTTATCATTGATCCCTAGGTAAAGCAGAATAAATAAATATCTGCTAGCATTTTGTATCTCACCGAAATTAGTAAAATTAAAGGCCCACTTTAGAATGTTAAATAATTAAAATGTTTCCCTTGTTAATCCACAGTTGGCATGTTCTACCTCTGAAGAATAAATAACGCGTTCATCATCCATAGGAATATTTTTATATCCAGCGAAAAACATTCCCTTCCTCTTAATATTCTGCAAGGGTACTTTATCCATAAAATGACTGATTTACTTTGAAAACTAAGTGAAAACGGTTTTATTCTTAACAACTTAAAATTATTTTACTAAAAAAATATTTACTTACCAATCTGACCTTCCGACATAATCCCACAAAACTTTTCTCCATCCAGTTCAAAAAAGTCGGCTTCACACCTGTCATCGTATTCAACGTCGAACAGCGTCACCTGGAGGCGTAGCTTACAAACATGTGTTGATTTTTTAACAATGACGTAATCACAGATTCGACGATTCTCGTAGTTTGACGGAAAATTGGGACTTGAAAGCTTGAAATTGGAGTCCGTTAGTTTCTTATCGCAACTAGGAGGAGGACACTCTTCCTGGACAGCGGTCAACAGGAATCCAAGACCAGAGCGTTCTTCATCAGAATGAAACTTCATGACAATCTTGGAATCTTGAAACTGGATGATACCTAGGAAAAAACTTTCATTAAACACATAGTTTCTTGTTTTTATTGAATTCCTTTCGAACGATCTTCATGAAAAGTTAATTCAATTTACGATACAAAAACGACATAAAATACTACAATAATACACCTATAAATACAATAGCCACTTAAAATACTACAATAATACACCTATCGATACAAAAACCACCTAAAATAGCATTATTTGTTTGTTTGAAGTTAAGCACAAAGCTACAGATTGGGCTACCTGTGCTCTACTCACCACGGGTATCGAAACCCGGTTTCTAGCGTTTTAAGTCCGCAGCCATACCGCTGGGCTACTGGAGGGGCCCTAAAATAACACAATAATACATCCACCGATACAAAAATCAATAGTAGTACATCTTCCGATAAAAGAGACACATAAAATACGAAAATAATACCCTTTTCGATACAAAAGTCTCCTAAAATACTTCAATAATACATGTTAAAACACAAAAGCTGGGCGGGTAAAATACATAATAATACACTCACCGATACAACAGCTACTAACAGAAATACCACAGCAATATATTTATTCATACAATAGCTATCTTACAAAAATACCACAACAATACACTTATCGATACAACAGCTACTAACATAAATACCACAACAATACACTTGTTGATATAAAAGCTACCTAACATAAATACCACAACAATACACTTATCGATACAACAGCTACTAACATAAATACCACAACAATACACTTGTTGATATAAAAGCTACCTAACATAAATACCACAACAATACACTTATCGATACAAAAGCTACCTAACATAAATACCACAACAATACACTTGTTGATATAAAAGCTACCTAACATAAATACCACAACAATACACTTGTTGATATAAAAGCTACCTAACATAAATACCACAACAATACACTTGTTGATATAAAAGCTACCTAAAATAATAATATACTAAAGCCAAATGACAGAAATTTAACAATAAAACATTTAACAATATTGAAGTTACTTAATAGAAATAGCCCAAGATTACATATAATTGTGTAAAAATAACCGGACAAATTGACACAATAGTACAATTAATAGTACAAAAACTCCCACCCACACCCCGAAAAAAAAAAGACAACATTATTGTTCTAGATGGTGGGAAAAACATACTTGACTGAAAGAAAAAAAAATGCCGTTTCTATTTTATTACTTGTTTAAAATGGCAGGAAAGAATAGATGGAAAAACTTTGTGTATTGACTGCTAAACGTAACAAATAAAGACATTTATCTTCGCGAATGATCGAAATTCAAATACAGTCTAGACTAAAATGCTATTTCATATAGCTTTATAAAATAAGCTTCTTCTTTTTTTCTGGATACAAAAGTATCCGTAAAAATAACAAACATTTTTTTTATTTTATTTTTACTACGGTTGTAATTTCATCTGAATATAATCTATTGCTTTCTCTCTAAATACCTATATTTATCTCTATGTACTTGTCTGTCTGTCTGTTGAAGTATTTATTATTCTCATCGTCTTTCTCTGTTTAGTTGTCTACAGACGTATTTTTGTCTTTCTTTTTATCTTTTTCCGACTCCATTTAAGCATTTAACCGGTCGCTTCTTGAGATGATGTCGGGACAATCGGTTGTAGATATATTTAAACACGTGTTTTTCAAGCCCGGTGCAGCTTCTTGTGTTCTACCTATATAATATTCACGGGATTTTTAAATCTTTTTAACACATCATATAGTAACCTAAATCAGTTTAGATGTGTGAATAATATTATGACATTGTGCCTAATTTATTATTTGATATTACACAGCGGACTAACTGTTTAATGATTATACTACAGACTTTACAGGTAAAATTGAAAGTATAATCTGTGACTTCGAGACCTAATGATTTCTTTGATTCGCTGCGCCATTTATAATTTATGATTATCTAACACGTCAAGCATGACCACTCTTGGGTCAAAGCAGGTCAATGGTGATTACGTTTTCACACCTCATTAGCTTTCCTAGTGACGACTATTAAGCAAAACGCTACAATTGTTTTAATCTTAGCTTCGAAGAAAGAGGACTTTCAAGAAAAATAACTTGAGGACTTTCAAGAAAATAACTTGAGGACTTTCAAAGAAAATAACTTGAGGACTTTCAAGGAAAATAACTTGAGGACTTTAAAGAAAATAACTT